CGAATTATTCAACGCGGTATGCTTCTCAAGTACAAAGTAGCAATTCGGTATTGGAAATGGGTTACGGAAATAAAATAGTCTTTGCAACTGTGAATATTCTGTCTGTTCCTCGACTCGGAGGAAATGTCTTTGGAAAGCTGGGGTCCCCGCTTCTACCTACGAAATGCAGTGTGCTTGACTCGAAGGCGAACACCAGGCACATCTGGTGGAAGCCTTAGTGTCTTTGTCTAAAGGAACGCGGAGACATTTTTGTCCTCGCTTGATTACTTCTACAGACATGCTACCGAAAGCCATCGCGATATTTTCCTCGGAGAGCGACCGCGATTTATCGTGTAAAAAGTCTAGATATAAGGGACTATAAAAGAGAAAGAGAGATTTTTGCGATAGCGTATCGACATGTATACTCGGTTCTCGAGCCGGGCAAAATATAACCCCCGTCGATTCGCCGAGTTATACTCAAACGGGTCTCCCGTGTTCCTGACATTGCTCCTCTCGGAGAACCAGCGCGCGACGTGTTCCACGAGAAAACTAGGAATCTTCCGTACTTTAAATGCGAGAGGATGCGACCGTCGACTCTGCATCCCATCCACGTTTACAGCGAATTTTCCAAATTCGATACACAACAGCGCGAGTGTGTGTGCAGGAGAATCGAAAAGGGGCACACCGATACGAGGGCCCATTAAATACGTTCGTTCTGATTGTTTCGGCCTGTAAATTCTGCCCGCCGCGAAAGGGGCTGTTAAAGCGAAGGAATTAAGAGAAACAGCCATTAAGCTGCGAGAATGGCCAGGATTCGGTGGGACCGTGACAAGTGCGTCGACCTCTGGAATACGGATGAAAAAAGGGATCGACGACTTATCGAGCGGTTGAAAAATTGTTAAAAAAAGATGAATCTCAGTTATGTGATTCACGTTTCGCTTGATAAAGTAACATCCAGCTTGGGGGAGTTTGCGTGGAATTTGATTAGAGGCGAGGTCAAGAAAGTTATTATCCAGTGGCAACGGCAAAGGGCAGGGATCAGATTTACGTGGAAATTCGGGCTGGGCGAGACACCACGTCGCGTCGCGTCGCGTCGCGCCGCGTCGAGGGAAATGCATTTGTTTGCCGGTCGGGGAGAGCCACGACGCGCGTGCACGGAATTGCACTCGCAACGCGGACGCCCGTGTCCACGTGGAAACGTATCGGTCTCGACTGCCTGCTAAAATTCTAGCCCGACTTCACGCTGCTTTTTCCCCATTTTCCTTTTGTTCCCGTTTGCTCTGGCCATCGAGGATTTCGTTTCTCCTGTGAAGGCAATAACAACGATGCGTATGTACGTCGATGTGTAATTTCCAAGGGATTATTCCACGCCGGACCAATCGTACGCGAGCAGCTTTTCTCCGGTTGTTTGCGATTCATCCGAATTAATCGTCGTCACCGTCGAGCGCGATCATAAATCGAAATACTTTCACGATAGGATCCGGAATAAGCGACGTTCAGCTCGTTCGTTAATCGACCCGTTATCGTTCCTCGTTAAATCGCGAAACGTCCCACCGTGCACCTCTTTCGTATCGAGTGCATCTAGGCTAAACCGCGTCTTTCAACTTTCCCGTCCAAGTTTCCGGTGGACCGTGAAAAAGCGTCGTCGCGCGCGAGTTTTCCACGTGAAAACGCGAGAAAGGGGAGTCCCGTGGGAAGAACCGGAATGGACGCGCGTGGACCGAGCTTAAAATCCGCATACGCAAACGCGTTTCGTATCATTGGCCCTGGTTAACAGACATCGACCATTACTTTTGACACACCCTGTACGTGCATAGCATGTCCTCGTTTCTATCTCCCTGTGTGCCACCCGTTGGTGACACTGGTCCAACAGAGAGAGAGAGAGAGAGGGGAGGGAGCACAGGGGGAAAGCCCGCGGGACGTGATTTATTCGTGCTTTCAGGGATCCTTTAAAAGGACCTTTTGCTTTTCTCCCTCGCAAAAATATCGTATCAACGGCGCGTTCCCCTCTCTCGTCATTTTTTTATTATATTTTTCTAGCATTTATCTTGCTTCGATGCTTGCAGCGCAGGTTGTGCTCCTTCGCGAGAACCGCCGGAAGAGACGGCGATGAATTTTTGAAAACGAGACAAAGGTTCGAGATTCCGGCAGAAGCGTAGAAAGAACGCGACGAGAAGAGGCGACAGACTAACGCGAAAAATGAAGGCACTCCAAACGTAATTTTCCTCTTCCGTTTCTCTGGCCGCGCGAAGGGGTTTTTTCCCGAGCCTCAATGTAGCGGAACGACGCCACGCGGAGGCTAAATATCGCGGACAGTGGAAAGACCTCTCTTTCGCTCTGTCTCCGTCTGTTTTCAACCCTACGCCGCAACCGTGGCTGGTATTTGCCACGCGTTTTCAAGATCGCGTTCTCCCCTCTCCCTCTGTTCCACGGCTGAAAGAGCTTGGATTTCCAAGCATAATCCACGGTCGCGGCTCGACTTAATTGAAAGCAACCTCCTCTCCTCCTCCTCGATCTCCGTGATGCTGTTTGCGTTAAGAATGTAAATGGAATGCGAGAACACGCGACCGTTTCCAAAGAAAATTTCCAGCGTGGAGATACAAATTGGGATGAAAGAGTTTGGAAAAAGAAAAGAAAAGATAAGCAGCGGGGCGAAACACGGTCCGGCGTGTTCGATGGTCGACGCTTCGAGCTCGATCCGCGGCAAATAATTGCACGCTTACGTACAAAGGAGAGAATTATCGGATTAAAGCGACGTTTAAATTGAAGCTTCGAACGTGGCGAAACGCGCAACGAAGGATAATCCGCGTGACGTCAATGGTTCACGGGGTGCACAAGTGGGGAGAAAAAGGGGCACGGGTCGGGGGTAAAACGCGCGGAAAATAAAAATACACCCGTGGAAACGAATTTCTCTTCGGGAAAAGGTTGAAACGTGTACGCGCGGAGGAGAGAGAGAGCGGCCGGTTGTTAAGCGGTCTCCTCACAATGGAATCCCAGCCGCTTCTATTTTTTTTCACTCTCTACCCCCGTCGTCACTCGCCCCCGTTGAGTAACTCGCGCGGGGAAAATAGCCGGGCGCGAGTAATTAAAAATGTAAATGAGCGTAATTACTCTGGCCAAGATGCGGCTAATAACTCGGTATCCAACAGCTCGGAGTTTGCCGCCTAAACCAAGAAATTCGAGGCGCTCGAAACCGGTCGAACAATAGCTTTCTGCCCAAAATAACCACAGTCGTTCCTGATAAAACTCTCGTCGTCGTCGTTCGAGACAGATCGCGCCGGAAGCCCGCGATTCTGCCTGGAACGTTAACGCGCGTTTTCGCAAAAGGAACTTGAGGGAATTCGCGGGAGAGGTCTGTTCGCGATCTCTACGTACACGCGGAGAGCGGATCATAACGCCAGCGGAGAGGAGGCCGGTGAAATTCAGGGAAGAATTAAGCCGAAACGGCCGTGCTCCGTTTTGCCGCTCGGTCCAAACTGGAAGACCCACGATATTAAATTCGTGTTAACCGATTCGGCGGACGTAACTCGGCCAGAACTGAAACCACTCGCCTAACTCCATAAATATCGATTTTTCAGGGAAAACGACGCCGCTCTTACGCGTAACCCCCTGCTTTTTTTAAACGATTCACGTGTCGTTCGAAACCAGCGTTTGGGTTCATTAAAAAGCTCTTTCGAACCTGCGAGAGGATTTGTCCCGCGATTATTTGCTCTTTTTATCCTGTTTATCCAACTATACATGTATAGTTGCTCGTTATAATGGTCGCCGTAAGCGAGCGTATTAACGCGCCATTGAAATGTAAAGCCTGTCAATTATTTTCTCCCGTTATGACGCTTATTCAAGCCGTGTTCAGCCCGCGATACGGCCGGCAACAACAAAAAAGCGTTAGTTGTCGATCGGGCAAATAATTGGCCCGCGGCTAATTTCGGCGCTTGTTTCCGGTAGAAAATTCAAAGATCCATTGTTCACGGCGTAATTGGCACGGCGCGGCCGCGTGCGCAGTTCCCTCGCCCCAAACTTTTCCGCCGGAAGTCGCGCATTTGCGACAAGAACCGCCCGATGAAACTGATCCGGTCCAACAGAGAACACAGGAACGGTTACAGAGCTACGACGAATCGAGGAAATTCGATCCTGTTACTGAAACAGACAACTGCTCCGAGTTCCTGCAACTTTTCCAAAGGATCCGCGACGACAGTCGCCGTCTGGCGTGATAAAACGATCGAAGAACGACGACGAGGGGCGAAATGGATCTCGAGGTATCTTTCTGCCGTACAACCGTAATACCCGACTTTGCCGCAGAGATGACATTCACCGCGATAAATATGCGAGAAACTGGCGAACACCGCCGGACCTGTCGACTCGTATTTGCGCCATTTAACCGGTCGATGCTTAGCCGTCGTTTCTTATTTTCCCGCAACACCCGCTTCAGATAGTATTCAGATTTTTCGCGAGTCGTTAGGAGGGCGATAGAACATCGTTTCGCTTCGGCTCGAGAGGACCTGAATCTTTCCGGATGCGCAACCGACCGCTCAAAGATACCAACGACCATTAAGCGGCTTCGACTTTTTTCCCCTAATTTCCGTTCGAAATAAAAAT